GGAATTCTAGCTAGAAAAAAGTTGTCAACTACAAAAATGAAGCTCTATATTTGTTTAGTGTTTTCTGAAGTTTTCAGACAAATCCAAAAAAAAAAGAGAAAATCCAAACTTTTCAATTTTTAAGAATCTGTCATAGGTTTTTTTAAAGACAAGTCCAAATTTGAATGAAGGGCACACTGGGGAATTTTAATTTCAAGATTTTCAGACGTTTGCTGAAATAATTGAAATTGTTTTGAAATTGTAGCCCAAATTGACATGTTTCAATATTATCCGAATTTTTGAATTTTTGCCAAAATTTAACACTTTCCAATTTTTATTTTTCAAAAAATTAAAAAAAAACCGAAATAAAAAAAACTAAAGATTTCAGAATTTCAGATGCTTTTTGTATTTCAAAATTCAAAAAATGGCTGAAATCCAAAAAAAAAATACTGGAATCACTAGTTTTCCCCCTTTCTGGGGGAAGAATAATTTCTCTGGGATTGAAAGGAAAATAGCTAATCCCCTGAAAATCGTCACTTTTTTGTTCATATCGTCTGCTGAAAAAGCTTCTCTTCTTCTGGATTGACGCACACAGGATATTGGGGCGGATTGGATATTTGGGAGAAATGAGAAGAGCGAAAAAATGCGGAAACACGAATTAGGCGGGGATTCATATATGTATTCATATATAGATAGGGATATGAAGGAGGAAAAGTGATAAGAAATTATGCAGTAGAAGAAAAAGGAACGGATTTGTATATTCCTTCATATATGATTCATTCGAAAATCTCGAAAAATCTAGATATTTATAAAGGTGGAACTAGCTATTGTACTTTTTCAGACGTGCGCCTTTTGAAGACGCATATCTCAGGAACCGTGCTAGCTAGACAAAAGTTGTCAACTACAAAAATGTTAAACATAAAATTTTACGCACTTTTACAATTGACAACTTTGTTCTAGCTATTGTAGTTTTTGAGTTTTGCCACTTTAAAGTTGGGTCACTCTCCTGTCGCACCACTGGTGTGCGGCACCAGGCGGAAAGGAGGCGCGCCAACTTTAAAGCGCACATCTCAAAAACTACGGTAGCTAGAAGAAATTGGTAAATTACGAAAATATGTCAATTTTTATGCTGAGCAATTTTTTTGGTGACAACATTTTGATTGCTATCATCCTTCTAGAGATATGCGCCTTTAAAGTTGGGGCGCCCTCATGGCGCGCTCTTTGCGCAAGTGGAAGGGAGACGTGCCAACTTTAAAGGCGCTTATCTCAAAAACCACAAACGCTAGAAAAAAGGGGTCAATTACAAAAATGAAGTTTGCTTTTTGTTCTATAGAGTTTGGAAATTTCAGACAAATCTCAAAATAAAATCTTCAGCTACAACCGAATTAGTTCTCGATTGAATGAAAATGTATAGGTCTCACGCGTTCCTTCTTTTCAAAGATAACATGGAATAAAAAATATATGTGTGTTGAAAAAAGAAGCAGAAGATGCTCCATCTTCAGTCTTCTCTAATCTTGTTTTCATTTTGAGAGAGAGAGAGAGAGAGAGAGAAGCTCGAAAATTGAGACAAGAAAACGTTCTTGAAAGTTAAGAGAATTGGCATTCATACCCTGGAGAAATTAGTAGCTAATTTGAAGGAAACGGAAGAAAATATAACATTTTCTAATTTTTGGGATTCGTTGAAAACTTGAATTGGTATTTTGAATTTTGAGTTTTAAAAGTTCAAGGGAATTTCAAAAAAGTTGCATCATTCGAAATTCCGAAAATCCGGAATCTAAAAATGCCAGAAAATTTCTAGAAGTTCAGTTTAGGAAATTCAATTTAGGAAATCCGATAATTCCGAATTCTTTCTTACAAATTTAAAAAATTAAGGAATTCAGAAATTCAGAAATTCAGAATTCTAAAAAAATCAGAAATTCAGAAATCCAGAATCTCAGAGAATAGAAATTCAGAAATTCAGAATTTCAGAAATTCAGAAATCCAGAATCTCAGAGAATAGAAATTCAGAAATTCAGAAATTCAGAAATTCAGAAATTCAGAAATTTAGAAATTCAGAAATTCAGAAATTCAGAAATTCAGAAATTCGGAAATTCAGAAATTCAGAAATTCGGAAATTCAGAAATTCGGAAATTCGGAAATTCAAAAATCCAGAATTTCAGAAATACAGAAATCCAGAATTTCTGAAATTCAGAAATCCAGAATCTCAGAGAATAGAAATTCAGAAATTCAGTAATTCAGAAATTCGGAAATTCAGAGAATAGAAATTCAGAAATTCAGAAATTCAGAAATTCAGAAATTCAGAAATTCAGAAATTCAGAAATTCAGAAATTCAGAAATTCAGAAATTCAGAAATTCAGAAATTCAGAAATTCAGAAATTCAGAAATTCAGAAATTCAGAAATTCAGAAATTCAGAAATTCAGAAATTCAGAAATTCAGAAATTCAGAAATTCGGATAAACATGTTAATTTGGACAAAATTACAAAATCGAAGAATCCAAATCTTTCAGAAACCTCTAATTTTTAGAGGATTTTAGTTAATTTCTTATAAATGAAATGTGGGTTTAAATAAAAAATTATTTAAGACTTCACAGAATTTCAGACCCATTTAACTGAAAACTTTGAACCTCCAAAAATCGTTATGTCTAAAAAGTATACATCTGAATATCCAAAACTTTCCAGTTGGGTGGTCAATATATGTAAAAAGGAGAAAAAGAGGAAAATAAATATATTTTCTTGTGTTAAGAATCCCCTAATTATGGGGGAGGGAGCCCTCCCTTCCTTATCATACCGAGAGAGAGAGAGAGAGAGAGAGAGAGAGAGAGAGAGAGAGAGGCAACATGTCTCTCTTTCTCTTTCTCTATATCTCCTCTTATCATTTCGGATACGCGGAAGAAGAGCATAAGAATACATTAAGCTCCTCCCATTTTCTATATACTTTTGGGATAAGAGATAAGGAGCTTTTTTGATATGATAAAAAATTTTCTTGAAAAAAATTTGTTTTCAAGATTTTTGGAAATTTCAAGTTCTCTTTAAACTCAAATCACAAAGACTAAATGATAGTGAGACAATATAATGATAAAACTAGTTTTTTTTTCTTCAAATTTATATGTTTTTTTTTGGATAGATCAAAAGTCGTTTGTTGTGATAATGATAAGAAAAAAAAAGAAGATATGTTCGAAAAAAGAGGAATTCGAATTTTGGATAGTATAAAGATCAAGAAATTGAAAAAAAAAACATTTGAGGTCAAAATTTGGAAAATTTGGAAAAACTAATTTCGGAAAAAAATGAATAATTTCAAAAAGTTTGGGGTGTTTTGGAAATAATGAAAACCTAGAATTAGAGAGATTTATGTTTTTCAAAGACCAATGGGGAATAAAATGAGTCACAGACTTTGAATTTTGGAAATCATCAGTTTTTTTTTTGAAAAATAAAATTGTGTTGTTGATAGGAAATTTTGAAATTGCCAAAATTATTTTGAAGTGTGTCGTTTAGAAACAAAAAAAACCTGATCATCCTGACATTTTTTTTGGAAGATGTTGTAAAAAATTTGCTGAAAAACAGAAAAACAAAAATTATCAAAAATTTGGCCAATCAAAAAATGTAGAAATTGGAAAATGGGACAATTTGGAAAACAGGGACAATAATCTTGTATCAACTTTCAGGAATTTCAGAATTACTGGAATCTTCAGGGAAATTATTTGGGATTTCAGAATTTTGAAATTCAGAACTCTGAAAATTTTGAATTTCGAAACTCTGAAAATTCTGAAAATTCTGAAAACCCAAAATCTTGAAAATTCTGAGAATTCTGCAAATGTTTCAATTCTGAAAATTCAAAATTCAGAAAATTCTAAATCTCTAAAAATTCCAAAAATTCTGAATATTCTGAAAATCCAGAATCTTGAAAATTCCAAAATTATGAAAATTTTAAAAATTCAAAATTTCGAAAATTCTAGCTTTCCTTAAATTCTGAGAAATGCTGAATATTCTCA